ATAGGAAAGGGGACCTTGCCATTTAAAGACTGTGTAGAAATCACCCTTTAATTTGTAGCACTGTTTTTTTTCCCCCTGCTTTGACCTAATGATACCATAAAGACCTGGAAAGAAATAAATAGGAGCTAAAAACATAAATATTTTTGGCCTCAAGGAGCCAGAAATTGTGAAGGAAAATGAATAGCTGGGGAAAGTGATTTCTAATTCTGTATGAACGACTATAAGTTCAGGGCTTACCCCAGAGTAGTATACATGTGCATTAGATCTGAAGAAACACAGAGTAAGCTTCTGACAGTTAACTACAATATAAACCACTACGCAATTTCTAGAATAACTGCAAAGTAGCAAACACAACAGAGAAGAATATTGTCACATAGTAAAGGCTGTGAAAACTTAACTGACATAGATACTAATTCACTGTAAAATAAATACAACTTACAGAAAGGTAAACATTCTTTAAATGAACAGAAGAGGACTTCTCAGCTGGTAAAAAGAAACTAGGAAAAATGCAGAATGAGCAGAGGAAACAATCAGTGAACCTGAAGACAGATTAATTGAAATGATCTGAGGTGGAGGTCTAGTGAGAAATGAACAGAGCATCAGAGGATGATGGGGCAGTATCAACAGGCCTCATGTCAGTGTCATTAGAGTACCAGAAGAAAAGACACAGATTATTATAGAAAAATATGTACAGTAATGATGACTAAAAATCTCCTTCAAATGGCTGAAGACATATTTGAAGAGCTAACTAAACCACAAATAGGATAGACTCAAAGGAAATCATACCTAATCATATGATCCACCTTCTGAAAACTAAAGATAAAATCTGAATCTCAATAATATTAAGATGATAAAGAAGCAAGCTATTTACTAGGAAAATATATTTAGGAACCACACGTCCAGCAAAGAACTAGTGCCTAGAATATACAAAGAACTCTCAGATCAATAGTGAAAACAAAAACAACCCATATGACAAATGGACAAAAGATGAGAAAAGATTTGAACAGAAATCATTTAAGAGGAATGGGGCTGGGAATATAGCTCAGCGGCATAGCACCTGCCTGGCATGTGTGAGGTCCTGAGTTTGATTCCAGTAAACGACCTCCACAAAAAAAAAAAAAAATAAATAAATAAAAGGAAAAGGATTTATAGATGGCAAACAACTGGTAATGAGATGCAACATGAGTTCAAATAGATGACACACCTAAAATTAAAACCTGAAGCAATAAAACTTTCAGAAAAAAACTAGGAGAATATTATTGTGATCATGACACAGATTCATAAAAGAAAAGTTAAATAATGTTCATAAAAATTAAATCCCTTTTCTCTGTGTGTGATCTTGTTAAGAGTGTGAAAAGACAAGCCACCAGCTGGGAGAAACATTCACAAAACACATATTTGAAAAAGAGCTTTCATTTAAAATAAAGAAGTTTCTCAAACTAAGCAACATGAAAACAATCCAACAAAAATACATCAATAGGAAGAACAAACATTGTGAAAATGGCCATTCTCCCAAAACTGTTATACAGATTCAATACAATCCCAACAAAAATACCGTCAACATACCTTATAGATCTAGAGAAATCACTCTTAAAATTCATCTGGAACCAGAAGAGACCTAGAATCGCAAAGGCAATTCTAAGCAGCAAAGACAAAGCAGGAGGCATCACAATCCCTGACTTGAAGTTATACTACAAAGCAACAGTAGTAAAATCAACATGGTATTGGAATCAAAACAGAGCTGAAGATCAATGGAATAGATTAGAAGATACAACCACAACTACAAACACGCTAAACACCTTATCTTTGATAAAGGAGCCAAGCAGGTGCACTGGAACAACGACAGTCTCTTTAATAAATAGTACTGGAAAAACTGGCTCTCCATTTGCCAAAAACTGAAGCTAGACCCATGCCTATCACCATGTACTAAATTAAAATCTAAATGGGTCAAAGATCTGAATATTAAAACAGAAACACTAAATCTATTGGAAGACAAATTGGGTAGAAACCTTGAAGACAGAGGGGCAGGTAGAGAATTCATGAATAGGACTCAAACCACACGGGAAATACTTCCCAGAATCAATAACTGGGACCACCTCTTATTAGAAAGTTTCTACATGTCAAAAGAAATCTCCAGCATAGTGAAAAGAAAACCCACAAACTGGGAAAAGATTTTAGTGAACTCCCTCTCAGACAAGGGACTCTTGTCTAAAACATATAAAGAATTAAACAAACTCAGACCTCCAAAATTCAAAGATCCAATCCAAAAATGGGCATCTGAGATGAATACGCAATTCTCAGATGAAGAAATACAAATGGCAAATAAATACATGAAAAAATGTTCATCATCATTGGTCATTAGAGAAATACAAATTAAAACCACACTGAGATTCCATCTTACTTCTGAAAGAATGGCCAGGATCAAGAAAACCAACAACAACAAATGCTGGAGAGGCTGTGGGGAAAAAGGAACTCTCCTACACTGTTGGTGGGAGTGTAGACTGGTACAACCTTTGTGGAGGTCAGTCTGGAGATTTCTCAAAAAGCTGGGATTGGAAGTCCCATTTGTTCCAGCTATTCCACTTCTAGGCATATTTCCAGAAGAACTGAAAGCATCATATCACAGTGATATATGTGCACCTATGTTTATAGCAGCACAATTTGTAATCACCAGATCTTGGAAACAACCCAAGTGTCCATCAACTGAGGAATGGATAAAAAAGTTGTGGTATTTCTATACAATGGAGTATTACTCAGCTATAAAGAAGGATCGCATTGAGGTATTTATCAATAAATGGGCGCAGCTTGAGACCATACTCATAAGTGAAATAAATCAATCTCACATGTGTGAATACTGAATAGTTTCCCTAATGTAAGTAATGATTCAAATATATCAAAGTATGTGGTAATCATGATTCCCCATTATGTGGTCTTGAAGCCTTATAAAGTTTTCACTTATTAATTGGAATGGCTTTATTCTGGGCTTCTTGATATGGAAATATTTGAAGCTATAGTATATGAAGTTATATTCAAATATTTCAAGGAAAAAGACAGACACTATGGTAACTACTATTAAGTTGGGTTATTTGGTGGTAAAGCACTAGGTTGCTGAAACTGTCATGCTTTGACTTGTATTGTTATGTTGTTATATCCTCTTTTATCTCAATCTCTCCCTTATTTATTAAAAAGTTATTTAGTTATTTTTTATGGTTTTTTAATTAAGGGGAAAAATTTAAAAAATAGCAGGATATATTATAGTAACTTTTTAAAATTTCCTATTAACTTGATTTGAAGTCTTGTAATACTCCCACTATCTTGTTTTGACTGATTAAACTCTGTCCCATTTTGTATGATAGTATCACGTTTGAGGGTATAGGCAACTACTTTGAAGGCAATAAGATTCACTAAGATGCCCATTCTGGTTTGACTATTATCTCCTTTGGAAGTCCTGTAATGTTCACAATGTTTAAGTTTTATTGGTCTTGTTCTCTACTGTTTTGTTCAATTTTATAATACCTAATGAGATAGACAATTCTTTTTAAGGAAGCAAGAGGCATTATGGTAACCATTGTTGATAACCGTGTACTCTGTTTTTACATCATGTACTATGTCTATCCTTGGTTTTGACTGACAGCTTTGTTTTGCCATATTTGACTTTATTCTCTTCCAAAAAAAAAAAAGTAATAAGAACTAAGGAGTAATAAAACCCAAAATGTGTAAATTTTGTTGTAAAAAAGAGAGGGAAAAAAAGTGCTCTAAAGGATACAACTGCAAGTGTGTTTAGGGGTGTTAAATAGCTGACCATATTAATGTTATTGGTTGGATCACTGAACACAACTGTTTGCAGTCTCTCTGTTTGAATGTCCACTTTGTATGTTTTGATATTGTGACTTGAGCAACTATCTCTAAGATGATAATGTGTAATCTATTAACTGGTGATTTCTTACTTTTTTTTTTTTTTTGTAGTTCTGTATTACTTGTATCCTTACACCGCTTTGTTTTGTTTTTTCTCTTTTTCCTTTTAAATAAAATTAAAAAAATATCAAGAAATGTTTTACCAAACACTATAGATTAATGGCTAATAAGTACACAAAAACATGCTCAATATTAATAGGCTTTAGGGAAACAGAAATTAATCCCACAATAAGGTACTACAATGTAGCCATCAAAATCGCTGAAAACATACACACACACACACACACACACACACACACACACACACACCTACCACTGACAATAATAAGTCATGGTTAGGAAGAAGAAAAGGCAAAATCTCTGTAATTGCTGTTGGGAATGCAAAAATATAGTTACTTTGGAAAACAGATTGGTTTCCTATGAAAATTAAATACTAAACATTAATGGTCCCAATCCTAGGAACTTACTCAAGAAAAATGAAAACTATGTTCATATAAAGCACAAAGATGTTTATGATTCTTTTCCTTATTTTCAAGTTAGAAGTAAATCTGATGTCCTTGAAGTGGTAAATGGATACATAAATTGAGGCATATTTATATCATGAACACTGCCCTGCAGAAAAAAAAAGCAGTAAACAATATGGATGAATATTATATACATATACTATGTGGCAGACAATAAAATCTACATATGATATTATTCCATTTATATGTCATGCTAGAAAGCAAGAGATTAGTTGTAGAGATAGGGAACAGATCAGTGGTTGCTGATGGAAAGAATGAAAATACAAAGTGGTGGCAAGAAGGGGTTTTGGATTGACCAAATTATTTTGTATTTTTATTAAAATGTTAATTACAAAGGTATATAACATTCTCAAAACTTAAACAATTTTTATGCATATAAATTTAACAGTAAATTTTTAAAAAATGAAGCTAATACTAGATGTGAACCAGATATGTTCCAGGAACACATTATGCAACCCTTAATCAATGTCACTGAAGCCACTTCCTCTTCTATTCCTACTCCATCTCAAGTCACCAGACAAGTAATTGTTTGTCTCCCTGGAGTCATCTGATTTGTTCATGAGTTCCAAACTTATTTTGAAATATATCTGAAACAGCCCCAGCAAAGATCACATGAAGTAATGCTCTAAATGACTCTGTGCCATTCTGGTTCACATCGTTCCGGGGCATTAAGCGCCAATGCTTCAAAACTTTGCCTAAAAATCCATCAGTTAAAGTACCTAGAAGTATCCGCAAAGAAAGACAGAAAGAAAAAAACAGAATAGAATGAAGAAATGACTGATTTCAAGCATTAATACTGGATGTGAAATGTTCTACTAATGCAATGGAATGAAAGAATCTCAGAGATTTGACCAAGTGAATGGGAGAAAATCTGGAATGGAATTTTGTTCATAGACATTCAAAGGTACATAGCTTAATTTATCTATTTCTTAGTGCTATTACTAAAATAAATGATATAAGAAGTTATTTTGTAATTTTGTTATATAGTAAAACATACAGCAAAGATTTTAGATCTTTTCATAAATTTTAAAATAATTTATGCAATATATATATACACATATACATATATATGTGTATATATATATGTGTGTATATATATATATATATATAAAATTTTTTTTTTTTTTTTTTTTTTTTTGGTACTGGGGATCAAATTTATGACCTTGCACTTGCTAGGCAGGTGCTCATGCTGCTGAGCTAAATCCCCAGCCCCTACGCATTATCATTGTTAAGTTTCTTTTTCGGTCTGACAGAGAACTGGAGACAGAGTAGAGGCAAAATAGTCAAAATGTGGCTCCACTCTTATAATAGTCTCACTGCCTGAGTGAAAAATGGTAGGTGGTGGGCTCAAATGAAAGGTGCTTAAAGAATGCACACTGACATCTTGTGAAGGTTAAACCCTAAATCTCTACCATCTAGAGCAAAGTTATTCTTCAGAGGCACTACTGACATTTTGAGTCAGATAACTCTTTTGAGGAGAAGCAAAGCTGTGATTTATAGGATGCTGAACAGCACCCCTCTGCCTTTATCTACTATCTGCCAGTAACAATTGCTCTCCCCTTCCCCTACACTCCCTCGCAGAGACAAATCAAAAACGTATCATGAGGGATGCTGCTTTGGAGTAATTAGTGCAAGGTGTTAAGTGAATGTGTAAAGGGGTACTATAGTATGTGTGCAGAATGCCCCCTGAAGGGCAAATACCCTAGCTGAGAACCTGGGAATGCTGAATGCTAATAGTTTAGATTTAAGTCCCTCTGAGGGAATTGTCCCTGTCCAATAACTGCTAGATTGGGAGAGGGTAATAAAAAAAAAATTCTCCTTGTTTTTTGTATGGTACAACTATGAAGAATCATTCTAGCTCCATTCCTCACACAGTAAGCTAAGGCTGCCGTAAACATATCACTTTCTGGGAAATTACTAAGGACAAAGAACTATGCTAAATGCCTGATAGACATCTGCCAATCTTCTCAACTACCTTCCAAATAAAGAATAATTATTTCCATTTTATTAATTAGGAAATTGAGATCCAGAGAAATGAAATCCTTTGTCTAAAATCATATAGTAAGCAAACTGTAGCACTAACAAGCAAAGCCTGCTGTACCAAAATTCAGGGCTTATGTGCTCCATCTGGATTACATCCATGCTCTCCTAACAAGGCCTCACACTGTCCCTATTTTTATCTCCTTCAAGATCATTGTTCATATTTCTGCTAGAAAGATGGTTCTAAAATAAAACTCTGGGAGATTAAACATGGGAGAGTAAAGACCAGCAGGAAAATACAGCTTCTCTAAGACTTGTAATCAAGACACTTGGAAAACAACAGCTTGATGAAGGAAAAAGTAGATCTCCATGAATTAGGAGAAAGCTGACAGGAACACTAGAAACTACAAGGAAGCTGGAGAAACGGAGCACAACCCCGCAGAGAAAAGAACAAAGCAGCCTGGAAAGTGAACCATGGCTCCTGGAGGGGTGTGTTTCTCTGCTAACAAGGTAAGCCTGGAGAGGCTCAACAGCTCCAGGGAGAAACAACAGACTGGCTGGCAGACTGGGCTCCCAAAAAGCCCAGGGTTACTGCTAACTGAAAAACAAACAAACAACACTAACAATAACTAGTGTTGATTTTGCTCTGAAAATAACTCCCTCTGTGTGGCAGGCTAGAGTTAGGGAAGAAATCCAGTTCAGCACCTGCCACCTTTTGAGATGGTTTAATTTGGAGCCATTTTGAGACAGGGTTGTTTTGTTTTGCTTTGTTCTATTTTGTTTTGAGAATGGGTTAACTGACCTACAGAACTACACTTCTGGGCTTCTGGGGTCACTGTACCACAGTAGCTGGTTGGGTAGGGGCAAAAGAGATAGTCATGAAGAGGGCACAGGATAGACAAACCCCCGAGAAGTCTAAATTCATGCTGGGAAGGACATGGGGTCCTGCTCTCTGAGTTGAGAAGCTAGACTGGTCATGTATGTTTTTGGAGTTGACATTTAGTCCTTCAGATTGCTTGGCTCTCCTACTCCACTTCCTACACTCAACATAGAGTTCCGTGGTCAGATATTCTCATCTGCCAGTGTGATCAGGAATATGTCTCAGCTTGGATGACTGTCACAGCCTGGGGCTTATGAACATAGGAGCATCTGGAGCAGGCGGCACCTCACAAACCCACACAGTACAAGCTAGTAGGAGAAAGCATAACTTGGGGCACATGGAAACTGGGGATAACTGGAATTCATATAGCTGCAGGGCAGACTCCACAGACTGACCATGCCTAGCAGAAAATGCAGGGCAGGATTCAGCATTCACACACAAAAATGTGCATGTGGAAACAAAATAGGTCTTAGTAATGACTCAGTATCACTCCACCATGTCTGGCAGATTCCAGTACTACAGACCCTGGAAAGAAACTACTCATTTAAAAACACAGTGGTATTTTTGGACTCATTTTTTCTTCATTGATTTTTGGAGTTTGGGGTTTGTCTTTATTTTGGTCTCTGTATTTTTTTCTATTGCTTTTGATCTAATTCTTTTTCTGTGTAATAATATCCTTTGTTGCACTACTCTCCCCCTCATCTTGTTTTTATTTTTCAAATTTTTTCATTCTCTCTATTCCCATCTCCTCCATCTTTATTAGTATTACTACTAAGCCTTATTAATCTTTAGATTTATAGTTGACTCTACACTATTATTGTTGAATTCTTTTCTATTGTTAACAGTAGTATAGTTGTTATGTTTAGTAGATATTTATTATATGTCAATATTTGGTTTGTCTTTGTATCTATATTAATTACAGATCTTTTTTTCTATTGTTAAAGATGGTACAATGGTAGCTTTTATTGTCTCTTATGGTATGTATATAGCCAGTTTATCTTGGACTTTGTTACTATTACTGATTTTGTTACTATTGACTGGGTGGCATAGTTGTTGATATTAGTTGTTTCTCACTGTATGCCAACATTTGGTTTGTCTTTGTGTCATTAACAATCTTGTGGATCATTTCTGAAGAACTGGGTGGTGGCCAATTATGCTACATTCATCCCCCTAAATTAATGGAGGTGGTTGGATCATGGGACAGAGGGCAAGGCATATTAGTTAGCCTTGCCATTCCATGCCCAGAGTATATCCCTGGCAAGTAGACACTAACTAGCAACAAAATCTTTTCACTGTAGTCAAACTGCAAACCTTAGTACACACAAAAACATACATACATATGCACACATGCAGAAAGAAACCCCCCTTAAAAACACAATAGTAATGTGAGATAATGAAGTAACAGTGTGCCTCCAAAATTTCCCAACTCTCTCAATGCTGAGCCACGAGGCAATGAAGGGCAGGAAATCAAAAGTTAAACAGCTGAATTATGAGAAGTGATAAAAAAAAAAAGGAGATTGAAAAACAAAAACAACTATAAAACAATACTACTGAAAGTATGGGCAGCAGAAATAACCAATATGAGGACAGAGTGTCAGAACTAGAACACAAGGCTAATGCAGGTGACCATATATTCAGAGACACATTAACAATATCAAGAGAACATGAAAAATGGATAACATGACACAAAGCAGACTAGTCTCAGATTAATTACAATTAGTGAAAAATTAGAAGACAGCATAAAAGGCGTAAAAATCTGTTTACAGAAATAATAGCATAAAACTTTCCAAATATGGGAAAAGAACTTAACATACAGATAAGTGAGGCAATATGGAATGACAAACAGCCATAATCAGAAAAGAACTCCATGACATACCATAGTCAAAATTCCAGACAAGGACAGAATCCTCAAATCAACAAATCACTTTTTAAAGGAGATTTAAAATTACATTAAAATTATAGTGAACATCTCAGTATAAACCTTAAAAGCCAAGAGAGCTTAGAGTGAAGTATTTTAGCCCTAAAAGAAAACAGCTTCCAATCTGAACTAACATATCCTAGAAAATTCTTTCAAAATAGATGGAGAAATAAGATCTTTCCATGACAAAAAGCACCTTAACAAATTCGTAACTAATAACCTAGTACTCTAAAAAAATTCACAAGGATATCCTAGAAAGAGACAATGAAAGCAACAATGCCAAAAAGTCTAATGGGATGAATACTTCAGGCAGTTGAGCATAAAGTTGTGTGTGTGTGTGTGTGTGTTTGTGTGTGTGTATGTATGAGAGAGAGAGAGAGAGAGAGAGAGAGAGAGAGAGAGAGAGAGAAATAGGAAAATAACACAATAAAAGGAATAAGTCTATACCTTTCAATAACGTTCAAAATGAATGGACTGAACTCACCAATTATAAGACAGATTTGCAGACTGAATCAAAACATAAAACTCAACAGTATGCTGTATACAACACATTTAAATAAAAAAGAAATTCATAAGCTAAAAATCAAAGAATGGAAAACAACATTTCATGCATTGCAAGGCTGAAAATAGGAATAGCTATCCTATTTTCAAACGAAGTGGACTGTAAGCCAAAACTGATCAGGAGAGGGAAAGAAGGTCACTACATGTTGGTTTAAGGAACAATTCAATAGGAAAAGATAACAATTATAAATACATATGCACAGAACATGACACATTCAGGTTCATAAAACACTACTGAACTTAACAGATTAGATAAATATCAATACAAGTATAGTTGAAGACCTCAATATCTCTGTTACAAACAGATCAACTAGACCAAAAAAAAAAAAAATCCTTTGAACAAATGGATTTAATAGATACCTACTATTCCACCCAACAACAATATAGCAACACATGGAACTTTCTTCAAAACACATCACACACTAGCTCATAAAGCATGCATAAATAAATATAACAGAACTCATATCATAGTGCAATGAAACTAGAAATTAATGGCAACAGAAACCACAGTACTTATGCAAACATGGAGATTAAACAATATTTTTTTCTGTGTCACAGAAGAAATCAAGGAAGAAATGAGACCATGTATATATAATCAAACCATAATGGCAGTACCACATATCAGAACCTGTGGGACACGATGAATGCAGTTCTAAAAGGGAAGTTTATAGAGGTGAATGTCCGCCTCAGAAAAACATAATGAGCCCACATACCCTAATAATGCACCTATAGGTTCTAGAAAACAAGAATAATCCAAATTCAAAGGCAGTACAAGGAAGAAAATTATGAAAGCAGAGCAGAAATGAATGAAATGGAGATTAGTGAGTTCAAGGACAGCCTAAGACACATAGGACCCTACCTCAAAACACACAAAACAAAAAAGCAGGAAAAACCAAATCAATGCAATTAGAAATGAAAACACTAAAATCCAGATTATCACTAAATACTTCAAAAACTTAGACTTCAATAAACAACAGAATGTAGAAGAAATAGATTCCTAGATACATATGAATTATCAAAATTGAACAAACAAGATATAAAAACCATGAATAATTCAATGACAGGTAATGAAATTGAGGTGCAATAAAAAAAAAATCCCCCAAAACTAATAGTTACAAAAAGTCCAGAACCCAGTAGATTCACTGTTGAATTCTACAAGAACATTACAGATGATCTAATCCCAATACTCCTCAAACTCTAATGAAATTAAAGGGGAAGGAGTACTCCAAAACTCATTCCTGGAAGCTAGCATTACCTTGATTTCCAAACCAGTAAGACCTCAACTAGAAAAGAATATAATATGCTGATCTCTTTAATGAATACAGATGCACAAATCCTCAACAAAATACAGGCAAAAAGAATGCAAAAAATTAATAAAAAGGTCATATATCATGACCAACTATGTTTCATGCCAGGGATGCAAGGACAGCTCAATATACACAACTCATTAAATGTAACACATCACATAAACGGGAAGGACAAAACTACATAATCATCTCAACAGACACAGAAAGTCTTTGACAAAATTCGAAATCCATTCATGATAAAAAAAGAAACCCAAAGAAAATAGGTATATGAGGATCTTATCTAAATCTGATAAAAGTAATTTATGACAAACCTGCTACCAACATCATTAAAAGAGGGAACAAGGGAAAGATATCTACTATCACTAATAATATTCAATATAGTATCAAAACTTGTCATTTGTGAATAACTAGTTTGACTTCTTTCTTTCCTACCTGAATCTTTTATTTATTTCTTTCTCTTGAGAAATACATACGAAAGGAAGAACTCACACTATCCTTATTCAGATGAAATGATCTTTCACATCTATGTATTCCACCAAAAAATTCCACCAAAAGATTCTAAGAACTAATAAACAAATTTATCCAGGTAGTGGTATACAGTATTCCTATACACCAAAAATCAACCCACTAAAAAAAGGAATAAAATACCATGCACAATAGCTGCAAGAAAAATTAAATACTTGGGACTTACACCTAACAAAGGAAGTAAAAGACCTCTCTAATGAAAACCACAGTACTCTGAGAAAAGAGATCAAAAAGGATTTCAGAAACTGGAAAGTTGTCCTTTGTTCCTGGGTAGGAAAAACCAGTATTGTCAAAATTATCATACTTCCAAAACAGATATACAGATTTAATACAAATTCAATCAAGATCCTAATGGCATTCCTCACAGAACTAGAGAAAAGAATCCCAAAATTCATTTGGAAACAGAAGAAAACTCAGAATAGCAAAGGCAATTCTGGGAAATGAGAGCAAACCCCAGATTTCAAGTTATGTTTCAAAGCTACAGTGATTTTAAAAAAAAAGTCAAGCCAAAACAAATAAAAATCCAGAGTAATACTGGCACAAAAACATACACGTGGATCGATGGAACAGAACCAAGGATTCAGAAACAATCACAAGCACATTCACTCATCTGATCTTTGGCAAAGGCACCAATAACACATACTAGAGGAAAGACAGCTGTTTAACAAATGATGCTGAAAAAACTAGCTGTCCACGTGCGGAAGACTGAATCTAGATCCTTACTGCTTACCATGTAGTAAACTACCATCAAAATGGACATGTGAGCAAAATATTAAAACAGAAACATTAATCTGCTGAAAGGTAAAATTGATAAAACTCTTAAAGACATAGGCATAGACAAGGACCTTTTGAACAGAGCCCCGATTGCCTAAGAAATAACAACAAGAACAACAAAATCAACAAACAGAACTATATCAATTTATAAAGCTTCTACCCAATAAGGGAAGAAAACAACAGTGTGAAGAAACAATCCAGCAAATGGGAAAAAAATTTTGCCAGCTACTTTCGAACAGAGGACTAACATCTAAAATATAAACAGAACTCAAAAAATTAGACCCTAAAATTAAAAAGCCCAATAAAAAATGGAAAACTGAAATGAATAGATATTTGTCAGAAAAAATACAAGTGGTCAATAAATATATTTTTAAAAAAGTTCAACATCACTGGCCTTATGCAAATTAAATCCACAATGAGATTCTTTCTTTCTCCAAAAAGAACAGCTATCATCAAGAAATCAACAAATGCTGGCAAGGCTGGGATAGGTGGAAGGAACATTTTACCTTGTTGGTGGGAATGTATAACTACTGTAGAAATTACTATGGATATTACCTGAAGAACTAAAAATAAAAATTCCAGTTATTCTCCTTCCCAAAAGAGTTAAGCATATGCCATTAGAAGTCTGGTTGTGGGGGCACATGCCTATAATACCAGCAGGCTGAGGCAGGAGGGTCACTGTGAGTTCAAGGCCAATGTGGACTACAAAGTGAGTTCAAGGCCAGCCTGAACTGAATAATGAAACTCCGTTTCAAAAAAAAAGCAAAAAATCCCCACAAGATATTACATTTCAGTGACCTATGTATACCGATGTTTATAGCAGCACAATTTATTTTATTTTAATTAATTTATTTACTGGTACCAATAATTGAACTCTAGCTTGCCACACAGGTGCTGTGCTGCTGAGCTATATCCCCAATCCCAGCAGCAAAATGTATAATAGCTAAATCTGGGAAGTGTCCATGTCCATGAACAGATGAGTGCATAAAGAAAATGTGGAATTTATACACAGTGAAATACATACTACACTGACATAAAGAAAGATAAATTTGAGTCATGCATGTTGAGACCAGAATTGGGAAAATTAAATCAGATTATATGGGCTTGAATATCGTGTTTCTCTTATATGAGAAACCCAGAATAGAAATAAATTGTAAAAATAAAAATACAAAAGGTAATAGGAAATGGGAAGGTAGAGCTTTTGCAAAGAGACAAACAGAGGGGAAATAAGGATACAGAGAGAAAGGGGGAAGGGATAAAAAGGAATTAAGATGTTTAAAGTACATATACCAGCTCCCCATGATGAATGTAATCATTATGTACCACAAAAGTAAAATAAAAATTTAAAACAGTATTAGGACAGAACTGGCTAGATCACACAAATTATTTTTTTTTAAAAAAGAGTTTATATCACATATATCTATGTAATACTGACAATACCTCTTTCAACTTAAAACTTTTTTCTCTTATACCTTTTGGATAAATTTTTTTAAAAATAAAGCTTAAACTCTGTAATGTGGCCTTTAAAGAGCTGCTATTTAATGATCTGATTGCTATCTCTCTAGCTTTGTCTTATTCCCCAAAATGAACCATGACAGATTTTGTGGATGCTTTCTGCAATAGCTTTATGGAAGTTTATATAAGTGTTGTAGAAATCTATGTAGTATTTTATTTACCTAGTAAAATTAAAGGTTAGTAATTACTAAGCCTGTTGATATGCTTCATGCTAGGGTTTTTATACAATATACATTATTTTGTTTACTTCTTATAATAACCTAGTAAAATAAGTTTATTCTGCATTTGCAGTAGAGGAACACAAGATGATGAAAGGTAAGCAACTACAAAGCAAAGCTATCAGCAGAACTGGGATTAAACTTAAATCTGACTCATAGGTTCCACTATTACACTAAAGGCACTAAGTAAACATTTATTAAATTAAATTATTCTCCACTTTCATCTGAAGAATACTTATAATGCACAATGCCCAGGGTAAAAATGTATACAGAAGCATTTTAATGTCACATATAAATGAAAATTTAATACTGTATACTTACCTGCATGAGATCGTGAAGGTTCTCAACAAAAGAAATCTCTGCTTCTACCATATAAAACTCTGCTAGGTGTCTCCGGCTTTGAGAATTCTCAGCTCGGAATGTTGGACCAAAGGTAAATACCTGAGTAAAAGCTCTGCAATTCAAGAGGAAGAATATCAAAAGAGGGATCACATGATTGATTTTAAGTCTCTAAAATACTTGGTGAGCTTTCTTTTCTTTTCTTTCTTTCTTTTTCTTTTTTTAATGGTACTGGGGATGTAATCCAGGGCCATGCACATTCCAAGCAAGCAAGCTACTGCTTTCTCTATTCCTTGCTTTAGAATGAGTTCATAAGTAAGAAGTTTTGTGATTCTGTCACGTCCACAAACCCATACATATTAGGTGCTCTATTTCTCTAATGAGTGATAATATTAGTTTCATTAAAAATGTTACATTTATAGAAACCATTTTATCCAAAGGAATGTGCAACTGCTTTACAAACCCTATGGTTTTCTAAATATACCAATATAACCACTTCTGGGTGCACTCTACTGCAGCTGCCTTAAGCAGCAGGCAACCACATATCAGAGCAATCAAGAAGAAAGTAAAGGAAAATACATCGCCACCCAAGAAATCACCCAGAGAATCCACATAGTAACAGTAAAAACTAGAATTTCACGTGAGAGCGTACCCATTTATTTTAAAAAACATGAAAAGAGAGTATCAGTTATGCATAGTAATTTATATTATTACAAGCCTACCCAAGGCCTTCACAATCACTGAATGCCTTTCAGTCAATGTCTGAAATTTGGCTGTGGGGCAGACTTCAAAGAACAGCCTATCTTCTGAATTTCATAAAGGACTATAATCCAAAATCCAAATTTGGTGGGGACTGCTATTTTTACATTTCTACAGAGAAGCAGACATCACATCTTCACTCTTTAACAGTTATAGTCTCCCTCATATTTAAGCAGGGCAACGATTAAGGCTAGATCAAGGTGGACCACACATAAACAATGAGTATTACCGAGGACTTAATCTTAAATTTTGCTTTTGCAACAAGAAAGAAAAACGTTTGCAGATCTTTAGCTATAACCTTAAACACTCTTCATTTGTCTGTCAGCCAAGTAACTAAGATTCTAGTAAACGCAGGGCAGAAAATAGACAATATTTTTATACACTAGTTTTTTTTTTAAAGTAAAATAAGATACTATGGGAAATGAAACAGTAACATAGTAGAAACCAAGGGGTTTGTTTTTTTCTTTCAAAAGGCCATTTCAGTTGGTAAGAAGTTCAGGAATCTGTTTTGGTTCCATAGCTACCTTCTTAGGACCACAGTCAGTTAATCCCTGAGAACGTCAGTTTTTCATGGAAAAACAAACACTGGGAACTAAAAAAATATTACTACAGTTACTTTTCTCCCAAGATTCATATCCAGCCTTGCTTATTAGAATATTCCTGAAAAGTCTTAACTAATTTATTCAAAATGAAGTCTTGTCCCAATCCCTGAAAATAAAACCAAACAACACTGTTTTTCTTTTTATATTTTTCTCAGTAGTTTATCCACTCAGTCACCTAAACCAGCCATCACAAACCCCACTACCCACATGATACCATATTAATCACAAAACTTAATTGTTTGCATGTTAGGAAACACTCTCATATCAGGTGACACATCTCTTACCTTACCAGCTGTTGTTGGTATAAAATCCTTGTTTTTTGCTAGGAAAATACAGCAAATACAGACTGGTGTCTGCCATTTGTCTTTCTCTGGCCCCAAGCTACTATGAGTTTTCTAACTCAAATCTGATTATGTCAACCCTAATTTAAAAATCTTCAATGATTCATCACTGCAGAAAGGATAAAACTAAAACTAATTTCAATTCAATCTTCTCTCGTGTAGCCTTTTTCTCCAGTTACTTTGAAGGCACTGCCCTCACCTCGCACGCCCTTGTGACTTCTGGTTTCTACATAAGCTGTTCCTAGCCTGTACACTCTGTCCCCTCATCCTCTCTAAATAGCAAATTCCCACCTAACCTTCAAAACATGGTTCAAATCTCATTTCCCCTTTGGCAACTTATCACATACCTCCAAATTTATTGTCTCTTTCTGTATATTACTGTAACACTTTGTTTATATATTTATTATACATCAACATGTAAGATATCACTTTGAAATGTAATTGTGTTTTTAAAATCTTCCGGCCCAATAATCTATGAAATTTTCCAGAGCAGGAATCATGTTTTATTCATGTTTGCCTCTCCAGTGTCTAGATGGAACAGGTGCCCATGCTGAATGAGTACTAATGATGATGACAGGCTTCCTCAGTCACCAGCTGAAAAGCACAACATCCTCACAGACAGCAGCACCACAAATACAGAAAAATTCCCAGATCATCTTACTGAGGCAGTTAGGATACTGAAAATGTGAAACTAAAATAGGTACCTAAAATGAGTGAAACAATTTAGTTCTATCCCAAACAATAAATTTAAGAGTTATAAGGCCCAGAGTGTCAACTCTGACTATGCCATCTCTAGGTAGGGTGACAACAGTATGTCTACATTTTAAAATGACTTTTCTCCAGCACCCAGGAGGCTGAGGCAAGAGAACTGCAGTGATTTTAAGGCCAGGCTGAGCTAAATAATGCGTTCAAGGCCAACCTGAACTATATAGTGAGATGCTGTCTTAAAACAAAAACAAAAACAAGCCAAAAAATAAGTAACCAAAATCCTTTCTTTCTGGTACTACATCAAACAAACTGTATATACAAATGTTAACTAACATTAAAGGATATTTACTGAAACTTTCCAGGATATAAACACATCTGTGGCATAGTTGAAACTTACTTTGAAGGCTCTAAATTACAAGGAAGGCTAATGGGATTGCTATTCGAGACATACTGCTGTGCTCTAAAGGATACAACTGCAAGTGTGTTTAGGGGTGTTAAATAGCTGACCATATTAATGTTTTTCATGGGATCATTGAACACAACTGTTTACAGTCTCACTGTTTGAATGTCCACTTTGTATGCTTTGATACTGTGACTTGAGCAACTATCTCTAAGATGATAATGTGTAATCTATTAACTGGTGATTTCTTTTTTTTTTTTTTTTTGTAGTTCTGTATTACTTGTACCCTTTCACTGCTTTGTTTTGTTTTGTTTTTTCTCTTTTTCCTTTTAAATAAAATTTAAAAAAAAGAGAGACATACTGCTTGTGTGAAGGCAGAAGTTACAAATAAAATGGTGGTGCTGAGCGTGGTGGCGCCCACCTGTCATCCCAACACTCGAGACGCTGAGGCAAAAGGACTGCTATGAGCTGGAGGCCTGGGCTGCAGAGTGAGTTCAAGGCTAGCCTGCAAAGCAAGACTTGATGCAAAGCAACAAAGCAAAATAAATAATAAATAAAATGGTAGCTTCTAACAAGACCTCCAAATTCAAATCACAAGAGCATTTGCTTCTCATAGGGCAATTCTAGATAAGATGCTCCAGAATCAGTGTTAAAAATGGCTAATAATTTCCCCTAGATATTCAGGGCAAATTCTCTAGCATAAAATATAGAAAAGCCAACAATTTTTAATTATACTAAAGGTCAGGTTCTGACTGAGTACTCGAGTAAAGTCATATTCTAGTAGAGTTTAACATATTTTAAGAATGGCTGACGATATAGCTCAGCTGCATGAGTGCTTGCCTGGCAAGCACAAGGTCCTGAGTTCAATTCCCAGTACCAAAAAAACAAAAACTAAGACTAAAAGAGTAAGAACTGATGACTGTGCTTTGCCCAATCTTTAACCATTTAACAGTTTATCCCAAGCATCACTCAGGCAGAGGGTTTGTTTACATTCTACTTTTAGTCTCTCAGGCAGGTGTCATTTCTACCAATCAATTCTTCATACCAAATACACTCCTATGTTTGTTTATTTGTTGTATATCAACTATTTTTTTGCATATATTTTTTATTCAAAATGTTGTACTTGCCTCTGTTTCTAGTGAAATCTAATAGTAAGTTCTGGTTATTTTCTTCACTAATTTTTGTTTACTTGTGAAAAATAACCTATAATTTTTTGCTACAATCTATAAAAACTCTTATCGTGAGTACATTACATATAATTTTTAGACTTCTCCAAAATTCAGGTATTGATATTCTTCTACAATACAAATGAGACACATTTGGGACACAGACTGAATGAGAAGGAAGTAACAAAAAAATCTGCAAAACAAAATTGAAAAAGGGAGAAACGTCAGCATATCAGAGCGGAAAAGTCTGTTACAAAGTTAAGAGATGAAAAAGACATCTCCTTATTGTCAACTATTCATAATACAGAAATGACAGAACTTGAAAGAAGCAAAACTACAAAAATTCCAATTGTGGTAAATGATTATAATAATTCTATGGGTAATATTAACAGAGATAACCAACATTTAACAAGCTATCCTCTAATCAAAAAGCAAGGAAAAAAATACTATAAAATAGTTATGCACCTTCTAGACCAAACAATATGCAACTCATTTGTTACTTATTTAAAAGAAGAAGGCTCAAAAAGTCATTTACAATTTAGATTAAGTCTAACAGACCAAATAGTTGAAAAATATGGGATAGCCAAATGCCAACCATGATGTACATCATTAACATCTTCACTATTATGTTTAGCGGGGAGACATCTTACTGAAATTGTATTAACCATATTTGAAAAAAAAAAAGAAAGGCTAACACAACAGTGTGAAGTGTTATTCAAAGAAAGGCAATAATGTAGAAAGCATTTGGAAGGAGACTAGACACTAGTGTCCAGATTGTAACAATGCATTGTGTATTGAATGTTTTAAAGACATAACATACACAGAAAAACTATTAAATTTGATAAAATTGTCATTTTTCTATTTCCTGTTATATTAGCTAATAAAATTAATGAAAAACATGCAAGTTTTGGCCATCCTGTATTTAAATAATTAGAATGGTAAGTGGTTAAAGAGAGGACTGTTTAAACCATCCAATACTGACAACCCTCTGTCAGAGTCCAGAGTCCTATTATAGCAGTAGTAGTGATGGTGGCTACAATAGGGAAGTGATCCTAGCCCAGCATGGTGGTGCACACCAGTAACACCAGCATTAGACAGGCAGAGGCAGGATGCCAGCCTGGGCTACACAGTGAATTGAGGCCAGCATGAACTACACAGTGAGACCTTGTCTCAAAAAGACAAAACAAATACAATAGGAAGTAATCCTCACAGGTCAAGCATTTAATGTAAGAACTTTAAAGCTAACTCCTTTATAACTGACTCAAAGGATGTATTACTACTTCTACTATCCAAAATAAGAAACTGAAGTTAAAAAGGTTAAAAAGCTTTCCCAAAAGTCACAGAGTCATCGTTTGGCTAGTGGTAGAGGCTAGATTCATGTCTGCATCTACTCATGCTCACAGCCTTGACCATGTGCATTAAGTGCACATCTAGAAATTCAGAAGGGCAGAGGCAAACATTTATAGAACAATCTTTCTTCTCAAAGATAACTAATGTATTCTGGCATTTTTCCTTTCTTTAAATGTTAGAATTGGTATGTTTTAATGTTAAAATTAAAGCTATCTAGAATATGCTGTCTTCATGAAAATAATGAGAATGATAAAATCTCACTAATATTTTGTAACTTTTAGCAGGCCATTTAGCCTTTCTGGTCTTCAAATTTGTACAGGGGTGGAAGATGGAGCAGCTTGGCACAGATCTCTAGTATTTTTTTATAATAATTTTGTTTCTAAACCCATATGAAATTGCTTCTATTTTAATTTATGGCTGATCTGTTGTTTTTTTTTTTTTCTGAGTTCACAGACGTGGAAGTCATTTGCAGCAAGGCTTAAACTAACCAACATTTGAAATGATATCTTATAACAAGGCCATTCCTAAAATAAAAAACAAACAAACAAACAAACAAAGTGAAAGGCTAATATTGCTGTGAGAAGACACCAGCAGAAAACAAAAATGCTCAGCACTGGAAACCATTCTTGTGCCAAATCACGGAGAGAGGAGAGCTATAAAAGGGAAAGCCGATCAGTTTGAGGCTGATGTTTAAGATAACAAAAGGACAGAACTACTGGGATGGGGAGAAGGAAGAAAGGAAAACATTATATGTATGTTGGTAAATATATATAAATGTATGTTTGTATATGTACACTAGAACCATACTACTAATCTCTCTTAGTTCATCAAAAAAAAAAACCAGTTTTTACTGTCACTATTTGATTCATTACCTTTATATTTAGATTTCGTAGCCTGAACAACTAATTCTGAGATAACAATATGCAATATATTAACTAGTGTTAATTCCTACTTTTTTTGAAATTCTGTATCAGGGCTGGGAAGTTAGCTCAGAGGCATAAGCGCCTGCCTTGCAAGGGCAGAGTTGTGAATTCGATCTCCGGTACCAAAAAAAAAAAAATTCTGTATCATTTCTATCCTTTGTTTTACTTTTTAAAATTAAAAAGAAGATAACAAAAGAACATCCAACATGTATCAATCAACATAGTTACAAAAATGGCTCTTTGGAAACCAAAAAGTTACATTATAAGGGTCTACCCATAGGTTACTTTTACTCTTCAATGGGGGGGTCTTTTGTTTTGTTTTTATTTTGATACTGGGGATTGAATGAGGAGCACTCTATCACTAAGCTACATCCTCATCCCATTTTTGTTTTTATTTTGAGATAGAGTCTCACTAAATTGCCCAGAGGGTCTTAACTTTCGCTTCTCTTGCTTCAGCCTCGCATGTGCTGGGATTACAAGCATGTGTCACCACAACGTGGTCACTAATTGCTTGGCCATTTATTCTTTTTGGAACTGAAATTCAAGAGCAAACTTCCTATTTTGGTGTGTTCTTCAGTCCTGGTAAGACTGATTAGCAAGTTTCCCTCCATCTTCCCCCCTGACACTTTTCTACCACCAGGTCAGTAAAAGTTCACTGAACTGAAATAAACTCTCACATAGTCTTAAATTATAATAATCTTTGCCAAGTAATTTCCTCATAATCAGAAAATGTGCATCTATTTTACTACTTGTCCTGGTCTGTTGGGTTATCAATACTATAGCCTGTTTGTCACTCACTGTTTCTTTTTTTTCGTTTTTATTTGTACCAGGAATCGAACTCACGACCACACACTTGCAAGGCAGGCGCTTATGCCACTGAGCTAAATCCCCAGCCTCATGTGATTCACTGTTTCCAGACAGCTATGATTTGACCCCAGGCACCTTCTTTTTACCTTTCTCCTGTTCCTCTGTATTGCAATACACTGAATGGAAGGAAGAAGAGACAGGAAAGTCATTTGCAGCAAGCCCTAAACTAACCAGCCAACCAAGATTTGAATGGAAATCTGACAACAAGGTTATTCCTAAAGTAAAACATAGAACCATGTTAAAGACTGGTACTGCTGTGCCTTTTACTCTAGCACCTATGCCCCGAGTTTCTCTGCACACAGATCACACCTAATGCACGAGGCCCGCTATCTACACTCACATTCATGACTGTGCCTCCCCTACAACCCAGCAAACTGCCATACTGAGTGGACAAGTGTCGGGAGCCGAGCCAGAGGACCTGCCTAAGCAGATGAGGCCTGTAGGAAAGAGCGAAGCCTTCAGTAGATTACCCCTCCCATCGAATGATGCCAAGATGGCGCCCGTTTCCTACTTCCGTATTCTTACCCTCAGCTTCTGCCTAGCTACAGCTGATGTCCCCCAATCAGACTTTGCCACGCCTTGTTACCCTATAGGACAGGACTATAGATATAAGGACAGAGCAGGAGGTAGAGAGGAAGAGAAGACACGCAGACCATAGAGAGTGGAGGACTACGCGGGGTTACTCAACAGAGAGAGCCCCACTGGAGAGTCCGATCAGGGAGGAACGTTCCGGGGACGACCTGTGTGGAGAGTCAATAAACGCGACCTCTGTCTCTGCATTCTGGTGTGTCGTGTGAGTCAGTTCCCCTGCCGGTCGGGGGTTCAGAGGCCGCGCGGCGCATTTTGGTGGCCCGTACGGGGAGCTGATCACCCCCGTACTGCAGAGACAGACCGCTTTTGGCTTACCACACGGCAGAGGTCGTCGGCCAGGTAAGTTGGGAGTACGCCTGGGCCCTGGGTGGCGCGCACCTACAGGGCAAGTTTCTTAACTCCCCTGGTGTACATACGCCAGGTATCGAGGTGAGCAGATCTTAGCCACCCGAGGGTATCTTTTGATAGAATATGGGCCAATTACCGAGCAAAGAGGCTGGGGATTTAGCCAAGGCCCTTAAGAGACTGTTAAAAACAAAAGATCTTGGGGTAAGTCGTGCCACTCTCGAGCTGTTTATTGCCGAGATTGACCGGATAGCCCCGTGGTTCCTACCCACGGGACGTTTGACTTTGCCTTCATGGGAGAGGTTGGGGGGGGATCTGGCCTCTGCCGAGCTCGGCGGGGACTTATCCCCTTCCGTTCGCCCCTTGTGGGAGATGATACATACCTGCTTAGAGAAGGAAAACGAGGGTTTCCCGCCCGCTGTCCATGGTGCAGGTATCAAAGAGGTGAGAGAAGCCTTCGAACGGGCGAAAGCTGAAAACTCTAGGGAAGGTTCCTTTCGGGAGGAAGACCCCAGGGGGAAGGAATCGGACTCGTCTGATTCCTATTATGAAGAAGCACAGTCCAGGAAAAGCATCTACGGGGGTCTCCGACGTGAGCTCCGCGCCATCTCAATGGGGGACGCGGAGGGAGAAAAAGAGAAACCCTCTGCTGACCCCTGCTGGCGACAGGAGAAATTACCTACGGCCCCACCTTGGGACCTATTTCCGGAGGCGGTGCGCCGTGAGGAACTGTGCCACCAGGGGGCGCAGAGTGAGGTTAGGAGACTGGCGGCTACTATCGGTCCCCGCCCATCGCCACCGTCCTATGCTGAGCCGCCTCGGGGTTCAAGATACTTCCATGGCTCGCTCTGGCGTTCTAAATGGTGGGCGGGACCAAGGATGCCGGAACCAGGGATAGACGTGGGCCCCTATGGAGTGTACCCCATACAAGTTGCCCCAGGCCAGGGTAGGAATGTGTGGGAGCCTTTTGACCTTAAGCAGATAAAAGAGTTGAAAAGCGCGGTCACGACTTTTGGCCCCGAAGCTCCATACACGGTGGCAATACTAGAAAATCTCTGCTCTATTCCCCTTACGCCTGGGGATTGGGCCCAATTGGCTAAGGCCTGCCTTCCAGCTGGCAGCTATCTGGATTGGAGGGCTTGGTATGCTGAGTACGCAGCAGAACAGGCAGAGAGGAATGCTGCCGGGGGTCATAGGGGATGGAGCAGAGACATGTTAACGGGGGAGGGGCAATATGCTGAAGATCAAACGCAGTACCCCAGTGCAGTCTACGAGCAGATCAATACTATTGGAATGCGAGCCTGGAAACAGGTAAGCGGCTCTGGGACCGCATCCGCATGCCTCTCTAAGGTAGTTCAAGGCACCGCAGAACCATTTGTAGATTTTGTGGCTAGAATGCAAGATGCAGCAGAAAAGATTTTCCCTAGTAAGGAGACAGCTCTACCACTGGTCAAGCAACTGATTTTCGAACAATGTACTAAAGAATGCAGGGCAGCAATCGCACCACATAAGAACAAGGACTTAAACACCTGGATAAGAATTTGCAGGGAGATAGGGGGCCCCCTTTCCAACGCAGGTGTGGCCGCCCTGCTCGCAGCGGCTACCAATAACAAAATAAAGGCCAGAGAGAGGCCCCAAGGAGGCGCCTGCTTCACTTGCGGAAAGCTAGGGCATCTGAAGCGTGAGTGCCCCCAAAGGAATCGCTCCGGCGGATCCGTCCAAGGGGGAGGGGAGATTTGCAGGCGCTGCCGGAAAGGAGCTCACCGTGCTGAGGACTGTCGTTCCATCTTTGATAGTGACGGAAACCGCTTGAGTGGCAGACAGCTATCAGAGACAAAAAACGGCCAGAGGGGGCCCCTCCAAGGAGTGGGCCCCCGGACCCTGAGAATGTCCCCTCGAGACAGCCAAACCTCACAAGAGCCACGCTCGGCTCGGGAGGACTGGACCTCTGTGCCACCACCAGACTCATACTAACGCCTGAATTGGGTACCCAAATCGTAGAAACCCCATGTTGTGGACCGCTGCCTGAGGGGACAGTTGGACTGGTGTTGGGTAGAGCTTCAGCTGCCCTGCAAGGTCTCATTGTTGTCCCCGGAGTCATTGATTCTGACTACACAGGCCGCATAAAAATTCTGGTCCGATCCCCTAACGGAACTCTGGTCATTAACGAGGGAGATAAGATAGCGCAGCTTTTGTTGCTCCCCAGCCTTCACGGAAAATTCCCCTCTCAGCAGAGGATCAGGGGCGGTAGGGGACCAGGCGCGGGGTCGGGGATTTTCGAAGGGCTGCATTTGACACTTGACAAAAGACCCATGTTATCATTGAGAATAAATGGGAGAAAAATTACAGGGCTTTTGGACACTGGGGCCGATCGGTCTATCATCTCTAAGAAGGACTGGCCCTCTAGTTGGCCCACAAATACAGCAGACAACACACTTCAAGGGTTAGGGATGGTGACAGCTCCTCAGGTTAGCGCCATAACCCTGCCTTGGTGTGATGAGGAAGGCCACCAGGGTCATTTCCAGCCTTTTGTCCTACAACTGCCAGTGTCTCTGTGGGGGAGAGACATCCTTACCCAGATGGACGTCACCCTTACATCCAATTGTTCTCCTCAGGCCAAGGGCATGCTTAAGAATCAAGGGTATATCCCCGGCAAGGGCTTGGGCTCTGCCCTACAGGGCCAGACTTCCCCTGTACCTATGGAGAAGAAGGAAGGCAGACATGGCCTGGGTTTTTTCTAGGGGCCACTGAAGAAGTTCTCCTACCCACCCCGATTAAAATCACTTGGAAGTCCCCAAGTCCAGTTTGGGTACCTCAGTGGCCCCTGCCCAAGGAGAAGCTCTCAGCACTAACGGAAATAATAAAAACCCAGCTTCAAGCTGGACACTTAAAGCCGTCGACTTCCCCATGGAATACCCCCATTTTTGTCATCAGGAAGAAATCAGGCAGATGGAGGCTGCTCCATGATTTGAGAGCGATCAATGCGCAGATGCAACCCTTAGGGGCAGTTCAAAGGGGGCTTCCGGCACTCTCAGCGATCCCAAGACATTGGCCAGTCTATGTCATAGACCTTAAGGATTGTTTTTTCTCTATTCCCCTGCATCCGGAAGACACCCATCGATTTGCCTTCACCCTGCCCACGGTTAACCAGGAGAGCCCTGATCTCAGATACGAATGGGTGGTCCTACCTCAGGGTATGGCCAACAGTCCCTCTATGTGTCAAATCTATTTGGATTCCTTGCTGACCCCTATACGAAAAGCCTTCCCCAAGATTAGATGCGTTCATTATATGGATGACCTGCTTATCAGTGCAAAGGAAACAAAAATGTTAGAAGATATGTTAGGCCAACTGGTCAAGGCCCTGAGAAAGGCTAACTTGAACATTGCCCCTGACAAGATTCAAGGGGGAGAAGTGGTGACCTACTTGGGTGCCAAACTCTCCTCTACTCTGGTTTCTCCGCAGAAGGTAACCATCAGAACGGATAATCTCACCACTTTAAATGACATGCAGAAGTTATTAGGAGATATAAACTGGGTCAGACCTTACTTACATGTCTCCAATTCTGACTTAAAGCCTCTGTTTGATCTCTTGAAGGGGGACCCGGACATTGCCTCCCCCAGAGAGTTCACCCCAGAGGCCAGGGTTGCCTTAGAGAGGGTTGAAAAGGCCATAAGTAGAGCTACTTTACAGAGGATTGACCCAGGACAGCCTTTCGAAATCTGCTTGCTGCAGACCAGATGTCAGCCCACGGCGGTGATTTGGCAAAAGGGACCACTCCTGTGGGTGCACCCTAAGGTCTCACCTGCCAAGGTCATTGAACACTACCCGGAATCAGTTGCTTCTCTGGCATTGGAGGCGCACAGTAGAGCGATCCAACATCTTGGTTCCCCGCCTTATGCCATTCGGGTGCCCTATACTGCTTCTCAGATAAAGACCCTGACCGCCTGCCTGGATACTTGGACCATCTTGAGATGCGTGTTCCCCGGGAATATAGATAATCAATTTCCTAAGGACCCCATACTACAGTTTGTTACTCAACATCCGGTGATATTCCCAAAGATCACCGCCTCCGCACCTCTTGCTCATGCAACAACTATCTATACTGATGGGTCGAAAACCGGGATAGGGGCCTATGTAGTCTCAGGTAAGTCTCCGGTTACCATACAGTTTGAACCAGATCAACCACAGGTGGTAGAGTTGTTGATTGTACAAACAGTTCTCCAAAAATTTTCAGAGGCCCTCAATATTGTTTCTGATTCGAAATACGTTGTTAATGCCCTACAGGTCCTGGAAACTGCGGGCCCAATCAAGCCAACCTCTAAAGTAACAAACTTGTTCTTATCTATCCAGGCATTGCTCACGAGTAGACACCATAAAGTGTTTATCACTCATATAAGAGCACATACGCACCTACCGGGGCCCATGGTGCAGAGCAATGCGGCCGCGGATGCGGCTACTCGCCCGCTATGGATTCTCAATATACTGTCCCCACTGGAACAAGCCCGTCAATTTCATGACAAATTTCATGTTAATGCCAGGACTCTTGCCAATACATTCCATATCCCCAGAGCAGATGCACGCGACATTGTGCGACTCTGTGGCTCATGTGACACCCATTCGCCTGTAGTGTCAGTCGGAGTTAACCCTAGGGGGTTGACCCCCGGCGACATTTGGCAGATGGATGTCACTCATGTGGCAGAGTTTGGTTCTCTAAAGTATGTTCATGTCTCCATAGACACCTGCTCTCATATAATCTTTGCGTCAGCGGAAACAGGGGAAAAGGTGTCTAATGTGATTAACCACTGCCTGGCAGCATGGGCAGCCTGGGGAAAACCCAGACAT